TAAGTTTCCCGTTTTGGATTACTTGGCATGCAGCATTGTCATATAACTGTTTGATGAGATGTATAATTGTCGATGGCACCCCGTAGTAGCGAAGTAGTTTCCAAATCACCTCTCGATCGACGCTATGGAAGGCCTTTTCAAAGTCGATGAAGTTGAGATAGAGAGGTGAGGAAGGCCACTTCAAGCTTTGTCCAACGATGATCCGTAGTGTGGCGTCAGTGATCAAAAGAAATTGGTTATTTTTCTGAACTTAAATTTTCAGCGACGTCACTGATTACTGCAATCCTTAAGTATTCTGATATAGTTCATTGATGTTTTTCATGTTTTTGTAAGGATTACAGCAGTTAAAATTCTTGAACGATGTGGTGATGTAACATTTGTGAAAACTCTACAGCCTACAGTCTTGTGTTACTGAACACTCTAATGAACTCAAAAAAATATGCATCTTATTTTGTAAATGTGTCTCAGCTAGATTAGATTAGCATAAATACTGATCAGTTTTTTTCGAACGAGTTCATTCAAAAATACAAATCACAAGATCTTTTTCTTTCTCCTGTGAATAATTCATCCACTATTTCATAATATACCGGTTCGTCTACGTCGATTGAGTAAATTTTCATATCCAAACCTTCGTTCTCAGGGATTTGGTTAATTTCACAAAAGACAACCTACTGATGTCATTTAAAAAACTTTTAATTATTAGAAATTTTTGGATAGCTGTTTTCTCTCTTAAGTCTGTTTTGAGGTCAACAGCCCCACTCACCATCAAAAATAACATCCGGATATCCAACTCCAATGTGAAGTCAGTGCTACTCGCTAAACGGATCAGACACTTGGCCAGTGCGTCATAAACAGCATCTCAAACAAACTACAGACCTTCATCAACAGCTTCCTTCTTCGCTCAATACCACTCAAGATCAGATGGCCGGCCAGAAAAGATCACCAACAGGGATCTCTGGAAATGAGCTAACCAACCCAGTAGGAACCGATTGTGAAACAAATAGGCAGAAAGAAATTGAGATGGATTGGCCATACGCTGAAGAAACTATCAAGTGACATCACTAGACAAGCCATCGCTCGAGTGGGACCCGAACGGGAAGCGGCGAGTTGTTCGTCAGTGTGATGGTGGGGTGACTTGGAGGAGGTCATATGAAGAGGAGATGAAAGCATGTGGGCAGACCTGGAGCCAGGTGAAAACTTTATCAGAGAGTCGAACGCATTGGAGACGTGGAGCTGAAGCCCTATGTTCCTCTAGGAATTAAAGGAAATAATAATAATTTGTTTACTCCAAATCTGGGACTCTCTATCTGTGTGCACCAATGACCCCTCAGGGATCAATTCTAAGATCTTTAGTTTACGAAGTAAGCTTTGATAATCTTACAGGCACTGAGACATAATACAAAAGCTCGTGAATTCTAACTCATACAGATTCGCGATATATATATATATATATGTAAAGCGTAAACGCCAACTAGCTATCAGCAAGTATTTGTCATCAGATGATTCAACTTAGTGGAATCCACCGGTCAAGACTTCTCACAATCAGTCACTAATGAGCATTAGATTAATTTTCAAGGGTGTTGATCTACAGATTTGATTAGTCTAAACAATGATTCGTGGTGAGGTATGGAGACGCGCAGCTGAAGCCCTATTTTCCTCTAGAAATTAAATGATATAATAATAATAATTTGATCACTGAATACACTTGAAAAAACTGTGATAAACAATTTGAGAACTGCTTTGTATTACAATGCACAATTGAAAATTCAGTGAACATTTCACCACTTTCTTTTAGTTAGTAAGTAATAACAAACTTTATGCCCTGAAGTTATACACCCTCAATAAAAGAGAGACTGAAACACTGATGGCTTGTTTTTAGGGTTTAAAACAAAGTGTAACCAAATGATAACACTGAGCATTCATTATTACTACTACTAAGACCTTTCCACTCCTTGCACTGTGATCATAGCAGTGATGTCACCAACCTGATATGCTCAACCGCGCTCTTCTTACAGGTTTACTTACAGGGGAGATAAAGTTTAGGCGTGCATCGGCTGGGAATCAACCCGGAGGACATCCAGTGTAGATTGTGAGGATTCTACCAATAAATCACTGACTACCATTTTCTAATCAACATTGATTTTTACTATGCATTGAGTTCAGCCAATAACTACCGAGTTCAAACCCTCTTCAGTGTGACACTACCATACACCCTTACCGGATAATCCAGTATCTTTCTTTACAAAGCCTTTTTATTCAATAAGGTAAAATTAAATTAAATAACCAGGAGGTCCTCGATTCGAACCCTGGTGGTGGGTGCGTACTGCTGAAGTGTCTCAAACTAGGCTGACTAAATAGCTGGCTATCCAGTGCTCCCTGAAGGTTTTCCAGTGGTTCTGTAACGGTTGTCAGCTCATGATGAAATCCTCCATCCAATCAAACACAAAATCCCTACAAAAAACCAATACTTGAAAATTAATTAACAATACTTCAAGAGAAGTATAAAAAGCCAGGTAGTAGTGGACAATTGTCTCATCTACGTATATGACTATTTAGCAGTATGCACGCATGATACCGCAACAGGGTCGAACCGAAGAACCCTCAGGTTACAAGGTAAACTCGTATGCCAGTAGCTCATCAATTTTGAATTTCAAACAATTCAAAATAATATATAACTCGACCACCACCTGACGCTCAACTCGGTGGACTTTGCTTATATCTGAACTTCCCACTCAAACTTCAAGAAAAATCATCCTGTAGTCAGTTAGTTACTAGTGTCTTCTAGATTATTCATATTATTATTATTATTATTGGTATTATTTATAATATTTCTTTTGATTTAAAGATCAAGAAACAGGATGTCATATTGAAAGGAGCACTAATAATAATAATAATAATAATTAACCGAGGCAAAAACAAGCACAAAAGAATAATCAATATTATCAAGAACATTTTTCCAAGGTGAACACACACACTAACAGTTCAAAGTATGTATAGACAGTATAAACAATTTCTTTGTATATATAAATTGGCACAATATTATTTGTAAAAGAAAGTACAAAATCATTCATATACAGGAATGAATGAATGGATGAATGAACAAGCGGAAGGAAGAAGTCGTTTTGTTTTAATAAATGCATTTAGAAAGAATATAAAAAAAGAAGGTATTAAAAAAACAGATATGAGGATGAGATATTATCATCATCAAGTTTGTCTTTTATTCTTGAGGAATGATTAATGAAATAACAAAGACAACAAAGGATCTCTGTACACACGGATTTCCTTTGCGGCATATCTGTCCATATATATATGTACGCACACCATATTGGCAAATACACAGACACAGACACAAGTTAACCATCCAGTCTACTACTGATAATAATGTAAACAGTTGACTATTTATCTATTCATGCATTTATTCTCCAGGGTAACAACAGAAACAACAACAAGAACATATATCATTCACTCTACTAATAATGATATCACTACTACTGTTATGCTATAATTTATTGTCTGGTTAAGTCATTTAACTAATTAGCTTTGGTTGAAATACAAAACAATGATGTATGTATGTATGTATGTATGTATGTATGTATGTATGTATGTATGTATGCATATATATGTAACATCACATGATAAAGTTAACGTTAAATTGTAATTTTTCAATAAAAAAATGTCTGTCGGAAGTCAGTGAAACAATTCTATGGTATTTGAGTTGACTGTATTTCATTGTATCCAGATATCAGATGAGAGATGATAAGATTTAACTGTCTTATTCAATTCATTTAAAATAATAATCATGCAAAGTATGATAAGATGGATAAGCCGATAAAATTCAGTTAGAATTAAAGTGTTTCTGTTGAAAATAACATTTATCCCATATATATTATATGCGAATGTCTAGTCTGTGCGCGGACGTCGTCGTGGCACAGCAGTAGAATGCTCGCCAACCAACTACGCCTCATGTGGTTCGAAATTCGATCCCCGGCTGACGAAGCACTCCTTTACCTCGTTAAGCCAGTAATAAGACTAGTAAAAAGGATATGAGGCTAGCAACCCCATCTTGGAGAAATAAATACCACTGCTAGCGAAACTTCAAGCCTCTAGCTTGAAGCCCTATGCCCCACTGGGGACGTAAAAGAATAAAATAATCATAAGTCCTTGTGCAACCAAGAAAACAAAAGGCTACTGCAAACTAAAATCAACAACTGCCTTCGATTCAAAATTCAATGTAGATCAGAAAGCTGAACAGAAAGTATTGGCGCCGTGGAAGACTGACAGACAGAGAACTACCGAAGAACCTATTGTTTAACAAATATGAATATACGCCGAGTAGATCGTTGAATGACACCGTGAGCTAGACGTGCCCTGGAGTATGACGCGAATATGAGGCGATAAGTAAGGCGTCCGAGTGTGTGACATGGAAAAGATAGCCAGTGGGAAATCGTAGAACCATAAAGAAAAGGACTGCCATTCAATGGTTGGAGAAAAGCGTCAGGAAGCCTTAGCGCTTGTTGTTGCCACTCGTCACCAAGAATTATCTGTAATCTTTGAGGAAGTCATGTCCGTTTTGCTGCAGTCAGAGACGTTGCTGCTGATCTATTCGAACTGATGACTGACCCCCTGCTGTTAGACTGTATTAAATAGCGAGCCATTTAGCATAGTGACCACAACATTGCAAACCTGACTGATCGAATTCAATCTGCACCAACAACAACACCAAGGACTAGACACAAGACACTAGTTACTAACTAATACCCAACAGCAGTAAAAAGCACTTTAAATAACAGCTAAGAAGTGGAAATGTACTCCTAAAACTCTATGTTCCAATTGGAACCCAAAGGAATAATAATCATAGGATCACTGGTCTTCATCTTGTTACCAACAAATCAGAAAACAAAATGGACTTACCACCAGCCACCCACCCAACCATCATTTAACAAACAGTATTATTCATGACAAAACACCCCACCCCATTGGCAAATAATCCATCAACTTACCTACAACCAGCCAGTAGTACTTGTCGATAAATTTCAACAGATGATTTCCCGCCAAATTGTCGACCAATAAGATATGTATTATGCGATGAATTAATATAATAATGACTAAGTGGTTGATCCATATCCTGGTAGACATCCAGTTTATCCAAAAACACGCATGCATTATCATCAGACATTAAATAACGATAAAAACACTCGATTGATATTTCATCTGGAAAAGAAAAAGAAGGGGGAGAGAAGAAAGAGGAAAAAACAGTGAAACACACATACACACATGTAAAGTCAATCAATAAATATATGATTGAATAAATGATGAATAAATTCCGCTTTTGTTTCTCTCATTGTAAAAACATTTTTCATTAAATTATGTAACATATGTATATATATATATATATATATATATTCAGATTGATGGTATTAGTACTGTGATGATGACTAGAACGACGGGAAAAAAAAGGCGAGGCGGAGGATGAAAAACTGGGAGTATCTATCAATAAAATAATGAAACATTTGTAATATGAATAAAAACAACAAAAATAGGAGAGTAGAGAAAACTTTTTGACAGTTTTGTTTGTATTAGGTAGGAGTCAGACATCTTATTAAGGGTGTACACGTGCACGCTCACGCACACGCAAGCACTCGCACACACACACACACCTACAAACGCACGTGGTGCTTTTTTCAGACAACAAAAGGTAACATTTATTTTTTTTCAGGTAGGTTATTGTTTAAGGAATGAATGTAAATACATCATCATTAGGTATTTCAACTATTAACTTCAGGGGATTACTGATGATAATGCTGAAGAAGATAAATCTAGGAGACGAGTATAAATTAGGCTGTGTTTGATTGTTATACATCAATCATCACCACCCTCTTAATGTTTTGTAGAAATGTTATTTAACTAGTAGTAGTATATAGGTAAATAAATAAAGTAAATTATTAGACAGACTGGGAAATTTAGTGCAATAATATTAAAAGATATTTTTAAGAAAGAAAGGCTACAATCACTGAGTTAAAAAAATTATTAAATATTCCAAAGAATCAATTTGATTGAGAACATGACGCCTAAGTGTTCTTGTGTTTGGACGTACTCGAGAACAACGGCGTAACGAATTCTATTACAATTAGCCAGTCCACTTCAAGCGAAACAGCTAAATAAATGTGATTTTTTATTTTATGCATCAGTTCATCCAGTTAAATATTCTTTTGTAGCTGATTAGAAACAGTATTTAGTTGTAGGACTATAAAGTGATTTTTTAAAGAGACGGTCAATTTATAAATTTTTTTAAGGTGTGTTTACTCATCTAGAGATTATTAAATGTTACCGAATGTTTGTCACACTTTGATTTACAGTGTATCTAGGAACCAATAGCAGTACTGAGCAGCTTGCACTGATACATTTCACTAGCTTATATAAGAGTTCATTAACAGTTGGAAAAAATAATCAACAAGCAAAAGAAAATTAGCTTGCTACGCTTTGCTGAAGCAATTGTCATCAAATGGCTTAAACCAAATCTATGTACGCAGAAAAAGACAGTGGTGAATCTTGCACTGCCCTAGTGATAACAAAAAATATACAACTTTCATGAGTCACCTATTTCATGTTTAGGAAACTCTACTCTCTCGTCTAAACATGACTCACCCTACTTTGTTCTTTTCTTTCCTTTTTTCTATTGGCTATTAGATAAGGCGTTTTCTTTAGTTACGGAATCCACTTTTTTGTTATGCTCCTTCTAGCTAAACCTTGTTTATATATATATAAATATATGTATATAAGCAACCCTGTTTTTTATTCCAAGCCTAATCGTCTAACTAATGTCAGCTCATGATGAAATCCTGAAACCAATCAAATCACTACAAACCATCACTTGAATACCAATGAGATGATTACTGGCGACTGGCCCTATTCAGATAGGTAGTTACCTGGGTTCCAGTGGGAAGTCGTGACCAGTAGGGTGCAGCAGGTCGGGTGTGAGGACAAGTACTCGCCGAAGACATTGGTTAGCGGTTGCGCTATGTCGTGAATTGGCAGAAGTAAGAATTCAAGGACCATTGGATCGGGTCCCAGTGGCTTAATGGTATACGAGCTCGCCTTGTAACCGGAAGGTCCTGGGTTCGAATTCCGGTGGGTGCGTACTGATGAAGAGTCCCAAACTAGGACGAAACAGCTATTCAGTACTCCAAGGTTTTCCAATGGTTCTCTAACTAATGTCAGCTCATGATGAAATCCTGAAACCAATCAAATCCCTAGAAACCATCACTTGAATAATCGTCTAATTATTCTATAAATAGTCAGTGTTTGTAACTCTTAATTAGTTAAATCATTCCGGACTAATGTTACTTTTACTTCCTACCAATTACTCCTTATGATCGTGGAAAAGCATGCTCAAATCTTTAATGTAATCCATATTTTTTATGGTTCAGGTTGTAACTAGTTGAGAAGAATCCTCGATTAAATAATAAAAGATGAGCTCATTTTATCCTGGTACAATTGTTGTTCTTGCTTTGTTCAAGTTTATTAATGGGATGAATTGCATCAAATTTACCGGACACTGAAAGCCGAATCTTCCCACAGTAAAGATGAGATTGTTTGTATGTGAACCAACATATATATATATATATATATATATATATATATATATATATATATATATATATTTAACAAAGATCATAGCTCATTTTTCATACTATGACATGAAAATCATCAGGGAGACAGACAATAAAATAATGTTGGCTATTATGCAGATAGTTAAGGTCGAAAGTGATGGATAAAATGCTTTTGTTGCTTCAATAGTAAAGCACCAAATAGACTACTTATCAGCCTATCAAAATCAATGCAACACTACTGCCTACAAATGATTATTTTGATTATTTATCTTCGCTTTTATATTTATTATCATTTTATTCCTTTACATTCCCATAGGACTTCAGGCTAGAGGTTTGAAGTCTCAGTAGCAGTGGTATTTATTTCCACGGGATGGGGTTGCCAGTCTCATGCTCAACCTTCACTCTTTAACAGTTTTATTACTGGCTTAGAGAGGTAAAGGAGTGCGTTGGTGGCCGGAGATCGAACCCTGAAACACATGAGGCGTAAGTGGTTGGCAAGCATTCTACCGCTGTGCCATCAGCACACATTATCTTTGCTTACTGACAGTACAACTATCAAATATTCCTTAATTTCGGATCTATGATTTGTACAGATTCTGAATAATATGGATGTAGATTTCATTACGAAAATTCATCAAAATCCTTACAAATCCAAAATCTGAATATTGGCCTACTCCACAACGGGTGTTATACGTTGGATAACCTGAAGGTATAATGAAAAGTTGTGACCGCTGAAAGTTTCACCATTTTGTGTGTGTGAAATGTATACTCATTGACGGCACTGCCTGACGCTTACTTGATACGTCATGTTGATAGGAGCTAAAATTCACACGACACTAATTCTGACTTGGCAGCTGAATGACCAACGGACTAGCCCTTGACCCCTGGTGGGGTCATGGGTGTACACCGATGATGAGTCCCAAACAAAAATAAAATAGCTATCTAGTTTTAACTAAGTGCGTTTGTGTTTTGACCACCTCAACCAATTATATGTATATATATATATATATATTTGAACTTGAGTACCTAAGCAAAAGCACCATTCAAAACCGATGAGTCAATTAACCCATTTATTAAAACGTGTGTGCAGCTTAGGAAACGAGTTCCGCGAGACTGTGTACAGTCACATAATAGTCATAATACCTTCATAGGCCCCGGACCTAAGTAAGCGTAATTCAATTCTATCTTGTGCCCACCCTCCATCTAAACTATTACGCCAAATCCTTGCAAAAGCCCATAAAAAGGTCAAAAATGATTAACTAACATATTACATAGGACAGAAAGAAAACGGATTGTGAATTATCCACAGAGTTAGAAAAGGGCCTATCAAATTAGACAGAAATGACAACAACAAATGAAGTATTTCAACAGATAGAGGGTCTAAATGTGATTTTTGTTTTTTGCCAGAATACAGATTTTATTAGTAAGGTTGATGTCTATCAATATAAGACACATTGCATTTTCTATAGTTTGGTTTGTAAAGGTTAGTTTTGTTTTTTACGAGTTGATCACGGATTGAAATCAGTTAGAGAAACATTGAAAAACAAGCAAGGAGTAATGGACAGCCAGCTGTTTCATCCTAGTTTGGGAATCATCGGCAGTACACACCCATCACCAGGGTTCGAACCCAGGACCTTTCGATTGCAAGGCCAACCAGCTCGTATACCATTCAGCCACTGGGACCCGATTCACTGGCCAGTGTATGGAATCTAACTTCTACCAATTCGTGACTTAGCGCAACTGGCACCAACCATTGTCGTCGGTGGGACATCCATCCTCACACGTGACATCTGGATGGAACTCACTGGTCACGACTTCTCACTAGAACTGACCCCAGGAAACTCCATCCTGTAGGATGGAACAGCTGGCTGTCCAGTACTCCTTGCTGGTTTTCAACGGTTCTCTAACTGATATCAAACCGTAATCAACCCGTAAAAACATATTGCATTACCTATTTAACAAAACATAGGGATTATTGCGTAACTTGAATTCGGGCACAATGTATTTTTTTGAACAGCTAAGGTGATATGTCCTCTGTCTTCAAACGATACAACAACTTACTTCTTTTTAACAGATTTCTGAATTCTAGTCGTCATATATGAAATCAATGTGTCGGTGGCACAGCGGTTAGGACGCTCGCCGAGCATGCACATGGTCCGGTGATCGATTCCCGGCCGGCGTACTCCTTTACCTCTGTAAGCCAGAAATAATTCTGGTAAAGAGGAAAGGTTGGGCATGAGGCTAGTAACCCCATCCTGTAAAAACTAAACACCGCAACAGAAATTTCAAGCCACTAGCTTGAAGCCCTATGTTCCATTGGGAACGTGAAGGAAAAATTATTTATTTATTTAGTCGTCATATATGGAATTAACTTGTACAATATACCATCTAGTGTTGATTTCCGACTATAAAATTTCTTATTGAGAAAAAAATTGGTAATTTCAATAAATAATGATTTAATAGGAAAAAGATAGACACACACTCAGAGAGAGACGATAAAAGAAAAAAGAGGAAGGCAACAGTAGACAAACACTGGCTTACCTGTATTTTTAAACTCTTCTTGTGTTTCATAATTCTCTTGAATATACTTGATTGTTTGCTTATTAGCGAATGGATAAAGGATTTCATTGAGACGAGGATCACGCTGAGTCTAATCAAAAAGAAATGAAAAAGAAAAAAGAAGAAAATGACAAATTTTCACCGACCAATGAACACGCATTGACTTGACAATATTCTTCTTCATTTTTTGTTTTTCTAAAGATGCTACACTGTAACAGAGTCGAGTAATTACCACTCCTGTTCTCATACAGAACTTAACAAAACTGCTCCTTCTTCTTCAACTCTCCAAAGTATGTTTAAAAGCATGTTTTTTGTTGTTCTTGTTGTTGTTGTTGATTTTTTTTACAACGGAAATAACAAATTTATCAACATACTAGTTTAATTTGTACAAAACAATCTATTTTCTATCTGAAAGTGACGCGTGTATTCATCTTGAAGAAGATCACTTACCGCTGTCTATCAATGAAACAGTGTTGTTATACGATGGTGACTGGATAATATATGTAAGGTAGGATTGCAACGAAAACAAGTGATTACCACACCCCCCCACCACCACCACCACACTGTTTTGACACCAATGCATTATTTTAAACATAAATTATCAAGTGATTATGAAGAAGAGAAAGAAAATGGATGACTTCTGGTAAGAGAAATGTAATAATAAACAACTTCAACGGCACATGTCAAGTGATTCACAAGGAAGAACTCAGCGAGGCGTTTAGAGTAAACACAGGAGTCAGACAAGGGTGCTTATTATCACCCACAATGATATTCCAATCTGTGGTGGACTGACTGGAGTATGCGTCAGACAGTGAGTGAGAAACGAAAAGACAGGGATAGATATCCTGGACCGACCGACGTGAAGAACCTAGAAGTCCTGGATTTCGCGCGTGGATGATTTATGTTTGATGTCACTGTCACAAAATCGAAGATTTACAAGTGAAAACCGACCGACAAACTGGTCGAAGAAGCAGCCGGTGAAGACAGGACTCCAGGTGAACATAGACAAGACTGGGGTTATGAAAATAACCAACCAACAACAACAACAGCAACATCCAGCGCCAATCACCATCAATGCGAGGTATTTGAAAGAGGTCACTTCATTCACTCACTTATATACGGAGCATTGTTTCAACTACAGCCAGTCGGAACGGACGAGGATGTCAAATCGAACGAGAATCGGAAGGGTGAGAAACACATTCATCAACCGGAAACCAATCTGGAAATCTTCGTCACTCAACTCACCATCAACAACAAAATTCGGTCGGATTTTCAATACAAACAGCGTCAAGTCAGTGAGTTCTTCTACACGGATCAGAAACTTGGTGGGGGGCGGGTAACAAAGAATATTTCCAACAGCCTGTTGCAGACCAGACCTTTATCAAACAACAACTGTCTTCGCTGACTGCATACTGAAGATCAGATGGCCGGGCCGGGCCGGAAAGAATCACCAACAAGAAACTATGGCTGGGAACAAACGAAACACGAACTAACCAATCGCCAACCAACAAATATGCAGGAGAAAGTGGAGATGGATTGGACACTCACTCGCTGAGGAGGCCGCTGGGTGACATCGCGTGTCAGGCCCTCGAGTGGAACCCGAAAGGGAAGCGGCGAGTGGGTCGTCGGTGCAAGGGTGACATGGAGGAGATCGTGTGAAGAGAGAGGAGTTGAAACAGTATGGAGTAACATGGATGCAGGTGAAAAGTACGGCAGAAGACAGAAGTGGCAAGTGAAGACGTGCAGTTGACACCCTATGTTCCACTAGGAACATAATAATAATCAAGTGTACAAGAAGCAAAAGAAGATATTAATAGATATTGACAAATTTTTTGTCCTAAAGTAAGCATAAGAATACATCTGTGAAATATGCAACTGAATCTTGCTTGAGCACTAAGAATGTCTACCAGTTTGGCATTTCTTTCTACTGTGAGAAAAATTATTTATCATAACAAATGAATTTCATTTGTTATTATTTTGGGTTCCGAGTGGAATATAGAGAGAGCTTCAATAGATCCCCATTCTTAGTTTTGTTTTCATCGAAAAGAGACCAAACATTGGCTAACTGGCATCCTGAAGACTTTCCCCAACCAGCCCGCGGGCACAGTTAAACTTTAAGCACCACAAACTAGCAATCACCAAACCACACCTTGAACGCGCCAGTCACATACATGAAGGAGGCATTTTTGATTATGGAAAATATATGTTTGTGAAGAAAATGTTGCATAGGATACCCTTCTCTGAAATGTGGTAAAAATATCTCTCAGGTTAGCCTAGGAGTATCAACTGAAATTTACACTATATGCTATACATATGTTCTTCTAAATGACTATAAATGACATCCTTTTGAGGTCGATTAATGGCCCTAATTCTGTTTTTAACTTTCTCCAAAAGCCTACAATAGAATTGATGTGTGTCCCTTTAATGGAATCCACAAAATCACTGGAATGGTTGACTGTATGGTGAATATATATCCAAGGAATGACGGGTAGATATTACCTTTCCAGTCATCCAAGTGCACGATGACACCTTCTCCTCCTAATAACGAAGTAATTCTCCTTATTTTCCATGACGTGATATCCTTGCAGTGCTGACTCCACTGAACTATTGATAGGAGACTATTTTTACTCTGTTTTAGCAGCTACACCTATCACAGGCTGTTGCAAAAACCAGTAACTGCGAATATACAAAATCTTAAGTAAGGACAAGTGGGACCTAGAAAAATATGTTCCTACGAAATATTAGAATCATCAGCTTACCTCTCCTCCTGACATTAGACTCAAATCAAGCGGAATAGAACCTAAAACTCAAGCGGATGAAACTCACTGGGCCATCCAATGTCATTTTCTAGTTGGTAGTTAGTGGTGCTTAAAGTTTAACCTAGCCAACCCACGTTATTTCGTCATCCCGTCCCAAGTGAAAAATAAGCTTACTTTCAATATTTTTTCTTATGCATTGAAGTTTCCGTAGCAGTTTGATTGATTTTCGGGGGTGTGGCTGCTAGCCGCATACTCAACCCGCCTCTTTTCCAAGGCTTCGAACCGGCTATAAAACCAAAGAGCTAGTAAACTAGATGAGGCATGGGTTTTATTTTTGTGGAGTTGAAGGGTTGTTAACCTCACACCCAACCTTCCCTCCATCCCGGGCTTGTTACCAGCTAGGTGAATGAGTCAACCGGGAGTCAAATCTCAGACCAGCGAGGGTACTGTTTTGGGGAGCATTCTACCGCTGAACCACTGAAACACAAAACATTCTTTGGTCGGGTGCATGTCTATAACATCCACTAGATAGCGTCTTATCTCATAACCCCTGTAATATCTAGCAAAATAACTTTCAAAGAACACCATCGCAGAGTATGACAAGCTAGGTACCCAAATGAATTTGATAGTCATTATTTGTAAAGAGATAAAATTCACTTTACTAAGTTTAATATCATATATGTATTGAGTTTTGCTCAGAGTCGAAATGTACGCATATTTTTATAATCCCACATTTGCCTATAAAAAAATGTTCTTTTCTCCACTACTTTTAGCTACTATATATAGATAGACGATTTAATCCATCAATAGAAGATTAAATCATACATTAAAAAAAAAAAAGAAATGAATGGAAAAACAGCCCATCTTATGATTGAAGTCAAATCATTTCCTTCACAAGAAAGCCTACTGAAGCAGCTATAAATCATGTTGGTGGCATCTCTTGAATGTTTTCAACTATTGTCTGTCATTTAGTGTTGAGATGATAAGTGTATACATGAATGCATACATACACAGTCGATAGTGAAAATTTTTAAATCGATACAAGCAATTTTGTCCATGGTAGATTGCAGGAAATGTTGATTTCCCACTCATCATATATATATATATATATATATATATATACCATTATGTTGATAGACAAAAGTGAAATTTATCACATTTGGTTTTTCTTTTTATTAATTCGATTAAATCAGTAATTTAAATAGTATGACAATCGATCACCAACCCCTCCATATAGCCCCTGGTTTGATTTTCAACCGATCCACCTGCAAAGCTCATTGAGTCTACTAACCGATATTAAGCTTATAAGCAGGAAGAAGGTTGAGGGTTAGGCTATCGAATCTTGAAGCCATGTGTGTTCCACTCGCAATGTGAGGAATACAAAAAAGAAATCACTTATAGCTGTATCAAACTTTATTTAAGAGCACGAAGTTCCTTATTTATAAGATAGTATCACAAGAATGCGATATCCCAACCAACCAACCCCCCCCCCCCCCAACATAAGTGATAATGGTTAAGTATTATTAGGCAAAATGAAAGAATTTCAACAAAAAGCTTCTCATAGCTTTTAGACTATATGAGATAGTTTTCTTTTGGCATTCATATCTTCAACATAAGATACTCCCTTTTTTTGCAATCCGTATGTTCCCAGTGGGAACATGGGGTTTCATACCTTGAAAATTCATTAGTGGTGATGTTGCTTTTTTGCGGGAAGTGAAGTTCCTCGTCTCAAATCCAACCTTGCCTATTTTCCGGATTTACTATCAGTTAATAAACTAGAGGAAGTTTGGTTTACACGTGTGTCAGCAGGGAGTCGAAGCTTGAGAATACATGTGTGGTTGGCAAGCAGTGGACCTTTTGAACTACCGACGTACTCAATGTGTAAAAAAGTCACAATGTGACCAGATAAACACATAATACTACAAATACCTGAGGTTATTAATGATCTGTTTAACTTAAGTATGACGATCTAGGCTAGTTGTTTAAAGTTTACACGACAACCGTAATTTAAGCTAGCAGATTTTGAATGTAATTCGGTTGCAAGGTGGTATTCACTCGTTATATTTATTTGAGAGTTGCCTGGGTTTGCATTTTTTTCATCTGGTTATTTAATTTTATTTTTATTCTTTTGTTTTATAACATTTTATGACTTTTGCTTGTGTTCACCTTATTGTCTTTTTCTTATCATGTGATTAACATGAAAAGAAGAGCTGTAGCAAGTGAGTTTACGTCCAATATCGCTCATGCCTGTCTTTGTGTATGAAGACAGTGATGGGACATAACTTCTTTGAGGTAAAATAAATAGTATGTAGGTGTTCTCAGTCAATGATCCTCTGCACAGTCCAATAGATAAGCTCCTCTTACTACATTTATCAGAGGTTGGATGATACCGATCGACGTGCACAGAGAAGAGAAAGTCTCTATGTAACAGAGAAATTGCCTGAAAACCCCTTCCTGGATGATCTAAGCCCAAAATGTATACTTGTTTGGATGTTTCACCTAACTTTTTTAATTATTATCCGTTTTCTTTCCTAGATTGTAGGCTATATCACTATATTGACATTTGTATGTCATATGTTGACTTGGTCCGTATTTAATACATTTATTCCCCTTAATGAGTTTGAACAAAGCAAGAACTACAGTTTCTGCAGAATAAAGTCGTACCATCTTTTATTTCGTTGCCTTCTCGTCAGCTGCTTACAGGCCAAAAACATTAAATATATCTACAATATATATATATATATATATATATATATATATATATATATATATATATAGTGGGTACCCTCAAAGGTTCATCAACAAGTATGGAAGATCTGAAGTCACAAATGTAAAACAAACCACAGTGGGTAAAAAGCCAATCTACATTCTGCTTGATTATAGAAGTGAAAACATTGCGGCAATGATCAACAGAAGGCTGAGTACATCGCTAGCCATAGCCTATCCTGCAGCTAAGCTCGTCCCCGTCTATCGAACAACTTGCTCTTTGGTGCAATCAAAAATTGATAGATGCCCTTCTCATGTTAACTTCAACTGTATATACAAATTTACATGTATCTGCGGAAGCAGTTACATTGAAAGGACAGAAAAAAGTGTACATCTACGATTTTCTGAACATGTACCAAAAAAGCTAATGTCTAAAGGGAACAAATGCTTTAAACAGTGCCATCGCCAGGCACCTCCTCGACACGAGTCATGAGGTGGACGTTGAAAAGTCGTTCAAAATTATCACTAGGCAAATGAGCTCAGTTCTCCTTAAGTTTGCTGAAGCTATTTCCATCAAGCGCCTGAAACCTGATTTATGCGTCCAGAAAGAAGCGGTTATCAGTTTTTCTTTGCCCTGGATATTTTCATCCCTTTTTCATCTAAATCCGTGATGCTGAAAAGTTTCCATTGTGTTTGATTATTATTCTTCGGAATAGTGTTTAATATTGCATATTTATATATGTATATATTATTACTGTATGCATATATTGATCGATTGATTTTTGTTTAAAATGAACTCTGTGCAAGTATGTCGGAATTGTTGTTGTAGATATATTTAATAATGTCTCTGCCATGTAAGCAGCTGACGAGAAGGCAACAAAATAAAAGACGGCACCATTTTATTCTGCAAAGCTGTAGTTCTCGCTTTGATACTCATTATTAGTCTTTTTCTCTATTCAATCCTTAATTTTAATGCTTCTCCTTGTGGTTGTGTGATGATATTGTAAATGTGTTGTTTTACGATGTGGATTTGTTTGAGTGCATCAAGGTCATTCTGACATTGAACTGTCTGTTGGAGGGAATGGTGTGTAATTCTTGTGGACAGAGTTTTTGATCTCACCCAGTTGCGGGGGGGGATATTCTAATTGATTCTAAGTATTTGTTTTGTACTTAGGAAAAAAACCTTGACTGCAGCATAGGTGGCCTAACGGCACTGTTGGGGTAATTTCGAGTTCTTTGATGTTAATTTTGGTTGGATAGAACCACAGATTCCAGCAACAAATAATCGTCTTTCTATTCAAATATTGGTTTGTAGGGATTTGGTTGATTGGTTACAGGATTTCGTCATGAGCTGACATCAGTTAGAGAACCATTTGAAAACCAGCTGGGAGTACTGGACAGCTGTTTCGTCTTAGTTTGGGACTCTTCACCAGTACACACTCACCGGGATTCGAAATCAGGTAGGTAGTTACCTGGGGTTCCAGTGGGAAGACGTGACCAGTAGGGTGAAGCAGGTCGGGTATGAGGATAAATACTCACCGAAAACATTGGCTAGCGGTTTCGCTATGTCGTGAATGGACAGAATTTAGAATTCATGGGCCATTGGATCGGGTCGCAGCGGCTTAATGGTATACGAGCTCACTAGCCTTGTAACCAGAAGGTCCTGGGTTCGAATCCTGGTGGGTGAGTACTGATGAAGAGTCCCAAACTAGGACGAAACAGCTGTCCAGTACTCCCATCTTGTTTCCCAATGGTTCTCTAACTGATGTCAGCTCATGATGAAATCATGTAATCGTCTTCCACCTGTCTTTTGTAAGTGTGTGTGTCTCAAAGAAGTTTTGTGAACTCCAGAGTGGAATGCAGGGATCCGTTTCCTTTGTTCAAATCTTAATGAGTTGCTTTTGGTAATAACACTCACTATAAGCTTCATGATAACAGTGCAAAATTAACTGAAAGAAATTCAGTTAGCACCATGGAGTAGACAGTATGAGATAAGTTAGTCCATAATTATCAAAGAGTGTATTCATTCCATTCCGACACAAAGTTAACCATGGGCCGACTGGCTAACTGGTATCGCTTATAAATACAGCAATGAGCGGTGTGGTGGGTCAGAATCCCACAGAGAACTTCAGTCCTTTGTAGAATGAAGATATTCATCGTTGAAAATCACAAGCACAAAATGCAGGTTCTCAGCATCCGGATGATTACTTCCAAACTATCCAACATTTTACTTCAACAAGAACTGATACATCTATCGAAATTCAAAATCCATAAAAGTACACCTCGAATCTTAAAACATATCCAATAAACTTAGGTTGCAATTAATTGCTACAGATGACCATAGAACCGTTCCAAAGCCAAATCAAAGACGAGTACGTACAGGAGAGAGTTTGAAAGTAGAAAGTATCTCTTGCACTTCAAATAAAATGGTAGCAAACATTCAACATAGCTATTTGAAAATTCCTGCAAATTATTTGTTGGAAGTTACTGGATCTAGAGGTCTACTCTTGAGTGGGTTGATTAAAATTCATGAATAATATTCTCAAAGTTGTTAATCATTCAAATGATACGACATGGTCTGACATCAGATGTTAGAAAGAGTTATTCTGCGCAAAGTCCTGCTTCACTTAGTTGTCGTCATTGTCAACAGTCATCAGCAACGCGTTTCTGTAGTCATAAAATATGACATGTTGTCTTACTGACGTGAACCAATTTTGCTGAGTACGCACGCAAGTTAAAGGATCCAACACTAAGCTCCAAAAGTTAAAGTTAAATTAGTTTATTATGGAACAAGTGATTCATTTCCACTTGTGATAGTAGTTTCATGGTGCATAGACTAGAAATTAAAACAGCCCACGTATAATATGTTCAGTCATTATAACAAAATAAGTATAAGAAGTGTAAAGTTTATAGACAGCTTAGCGATAAAGCTGTAAACTTTGAACCACTAAGGGAACAAGAATTTTCGTTACGTTACAAACACTACACTGCTGAAGGCTTGCTGGTTTCAGCAAAGAACTTTGCACAGATATAAAGCAGTTCGAGTTACCACACTCAATGTAGCACACAAAGCAAGCGAAGAGAGTAAAGAGACAGAGGTAATAAACAGAAATATTAGGCAAAAAGAATAGTTATACGGAAGAACATAGAGTTTTATTGGATATTATAAACCACAAAAAGTGTATGTATCTGCACCATTACTGAAAACTATTTTGAGCCATATCACCAATTGTCTCTAGCCTACATTGGTGGTTCATACCATCTCAAACAGTTGTAGATTTCATTGACTGATGAAGCCATGTTTTCCTTTGACCACATCACCAGCTGTTTTCTAACCTGATCCTGTATCAGAAGCTAAAATTACCCGTTGAGGAAAGCGATTGACGACTAGGCATCGCAACATATGTCCTGACCATCTCAATCGATGTAACTTCACAACCTCATCGATTGACTTCCCCTCCTTACCTAGTACACGACGCCTAAACTCAATATTACTTAATCTATTGTACCACCTAACATGGGAGATAGAACACAGGCGCCAGTGACTAAAGACAGCTAGATAGCTGGCATTTTCTTTTTCTTCCACTTTCAATGACCATGTGTCACAACCAGCCATAAAGGAGGATAGAGTCAACTGCTAAGTAGTACACACGCCCTTTGCTCGACAGCCAGCTGGATATCACGTCTACTAAGCCAGAGATGGAGTAAGTTGGCAAATGCTAAACGAGCCTTCCGTATCCATACTGAGATTTCGTTAGACACTAACCAGCTGGAGTTGGCTGTGATGTAACTTCCAAAATAAGTAAAGTGGTCGATACGCTGAACCACTTCAATCCCGATTTCTAAGCCAGGATTCAATGTAGTCCAGTCCTGTAGCATCACCATCTTACATTACACCGCTAAAGAATTCTGACAGTCATGAAACTTGAATAGAGCCGAGCATTCTGCAAGGGTATGGTGTCTGCTAACATTTAGCTTAAAAGTACTAGAAACCATGTACAATGTATACCGAAAAAATGAAATATTTTATTTCACTTCATCAAATAACAATAGAATAGTCAACTCACCTCATTAAGAAACTCAATCATTTTATCTGCATGTATATGACTTTTGCCTTTTGATCTGGAAGAGAGAAAAAGAAAAGTTTATAATCAAAGGAGCATTTATAAAGTGAACCCTTTGAAAAATAAATAAATAAAGGCTCAGTTAGTGAGTGCACTTCACTACTACTCCTTCCGAATCCTTTCGATCAATATTATTAAAAGCCATTATGAGGTGAAAATAGCTGTAATGAGAAATAGAAATTTGAGCAAAGCAAAAACAACAGTTTATTATGAAGTAAGCCTATCTTCAGATAACTCGATTTTAAAAGGTGGTAACACAGTATTTTAGGAATAAACAACAGAAGATTGGATACTAGCCAGGATCTCTATCCTGCAACCGAGTTAGTTCCTATTCAACCGGCTAGTCTGACTGCCCCTGTTCTACTAGTTTGACCTATGTATTTGACCTGACAACCATCTCAGACAGGGTATTAAATAAACTAAACTGTTTTGTTTTAAAGGCTCCGCAGGACCGATCCTTTAACCGACAAAGCTTGTTTCTAATTGAGTTTGTGGGTTTGAATGCCATCCACTTTTATTCCTGCCTTGTTAAGAATTCTGCGTAAGGTGGTTTCCGAGGTTCCTTCCTTGTATGGAATTACTACTGATGATTTAGACTCCTTATTGTTGGTTTCGTCATTAATATTATTATTATTATCATCATTATTTATTTTATTTTTACATTTCCTTACATATTTCCTGACCAATTTATCCGGATAATTATTAAGTTTCAAGGCTTCTTTTATGTGTATCACTTCTTGTCTTAGATTTTCCTGGGTACTACTTAGTCTTTGTGCTCTGTTACTTAAATATTTCACCAATCCTATTTTTACTGACATAGGATGTGGGATGAACGGAAGTCCAAATATATACAGAGAGAGATTGATAACAGAAGCTGTGTTTATCGAATCAACTGCAAATACATGTAACAGGAATGACTAAACACCTGTCCCCGATATCTGGGAAATTCTACTACCCCTATGACGAATTGGACAGGACAAAGGAAACTATATAAAACTCAAGTTTCAAAGTCGTGTGATTATAATTGATGGCATGATTATGAACAATAAATCCAGTAAATAATGCTGTTTCACTGTGTGATACATCTAATAAACAAACTAATTATGGAATGGGGAAACAGTGTTACTAATAAAATCAAAAAATAAGAAATAATAATGAAACCATATAAACAAAATCTAAAGGAAGTTATGTGGGCACCATTATATAATGATTTTGAGCAATGACTTATGATCGAAATGTTATGAGTAAATAAATACTGCTTTATCATTAATGTGTGTGTTTTACCAAATAAAATTATTTTATCGGAAAACAGCTTTAATCATCATTTTTACAAGTGTTATTATTATGTACAGTAGTAGTTCAGTGCCAGAACATTCCATAACAACGCAAGTAATCCAGAGTTCAGTTCCCAATCACTGCACTCCCAGACCTTGCATAGCCGATAGTAAAACAGATAGTGTAGGAAATTTGGGCATGAGGCTAGGAACTCCACTCCGCAAAAAAAAAAACATCAATTCTACCAAAACTTCAAAGTGCAAGTATATGAAGTCCTATGTTCCAACCAGGGCTCAGACGAAAAAGATAGAAAAACTGAAGTATTATGTACATAGAAGAGTTTTTAGAAAGTTACCAATCTATCATGATACATTCAATTCAAGAAAATGAATGTGAAAGGCACTACGAACGGTGGAAAAGTGCTTCAAACCCAATAGTACTACTATATTGTCTATCTTCGTTCTATTGGGAACAAAAATATTTCATAATATTACATGTTGGGAATTTTGTACTTTATGCAAAAATAGTACGTAGAGCAAAATAATTATTATTATTACCACCAATTAATTCACCAGTATGTTGGAATTCCATCTATAATTAGAATTAGAATGTTAGCAATAAACTATTCAAACACAGGTTAGCAGTGTCTATATCTACATTCATTCAATCCCTTATATTATTATTATTACTTTATTGATCAGGGGAAAAATCAGTAGTTCATTTAAACATACTACTGGACTGGACTACACTATGCAGACTAACTATATGAAAGCAATTTTGTTAATGGAAGGGAATTAATAAATTAACTTATGAATGCTACTTAATGTAGCTATTATATATATATATATATATTGAAGAGCTTAGAATTGATTATATATGTTAGATAAATACAAACCTATCAGAGCAAATGATAATACGTGAATTCTAATCGTGAGACATAATATAAGATTTTATATTAGATAAACTTATTTGAAAAATCACACAGTCATAACAGTATTGTTAACTGGATGTCGTTTTGACTACAGTTTATTTCTCATAATCATGTCAATCATTCATATGATTACCATTATTATTAACGTATAACCGTAGCCTGCTTAAATCCCTAGGCTGTCTATATTTCTATCTATATACCCTATAACGGAGTTATACTCTACCATAGTGCCCAAGTTTTATACTTATATCTATATTTCTATTTAGTACAACACAAACTTTTCAAGTGTTGGTTTGTAGGGATTTGATTGGTTACAGGATTTTCATCATGAGCTGACATCAGTTAGAGAACCATTTGAAAACCAGCTGGGAGTACTGGATAGCTGTTTCGTCCTAGTTTGGGACTCTTCATCAGTACTCACCCACCAGGATTCGAACCCAGGACCTTCTGGTTACAAGGCGAGTTCGTCTACCATTAAGCCACATAAACTTTTCTTCATTTCTTTTACTGTTTTAATCATATAATTTTATTTATTTTTGCATTTCCATGTGTACTCGCGCACAGTTTTATTTTCCTGTAAAGGTATTTATTGTACAGCATTTCTCAAAGGAAATGATGAGGCGATTGTCTCAGAGAGAACAACTCAGCTTTCATCACGCAATATAATGCGGAGTACTGTTTTACTTGAAGGTTCTATACGAAGAGTAGACATTTTTCAGTTTTGAATAAGCTGAAAATTCTGTACTATACATTAACCTATTGCTTAGAATAAAGTCATTATTATAAAAATGTTAAATATACAAGATAGTTAATACTCTAACAACCAAAGTTTATTTATGCATAATATGACAGAAAGTTTGACTTGAGAAGACGAGAGTGAATAGAAATAGTAATTAAAGAGATACAAATTACTACGTCAACAAAATCCATTAAGTAAATTAGAAGATTAACAGTAAATTCAGTTGAGTGAGTTAAAGTCAGAAAAAAAAACACATTTGTGACGTAACAAAAAGGAAAAATCTTGATTTTGTTATGAACAGATAATCTGAGGTAATCATAAGAAAGCCTTCATTGATCTAGGTTTCGTTCTGGTTAGTGTACTTGTCAGACAGGCTTACTATCTGCAATCTTGAAGGTAGTCAGTCATGTCCCTTCTGAGATTCAAACTCGTGTTACCCACTGGCTTCAGTCACTGACGTTACCACCATTGATTTACTCGGGTTGGCAATTAACCTCCTGTAGGGCTGTAATGAAGACAAGGTAATGGCTAGTGTCATGCATCCAGTACTTCGTTTGGTGCAGAATAAATTGTATCTAATACTCAGACTAGTTGTGAAAGAAGAAATAAGAATAGTAACTACTATAGTTTATCGAGACTAGTAGTAATAATGGCAGTTTACAGCTTGAAAATGATATCATTGAAAACAGTAACTCTATTTTGTTATATGAGTCAAAAGGGGACTTTTAAGTTGTTTAAACTTCAACAAAACAAGAACAACAAATGCACCGGCAAAATATGAGCTCCTCTATTATGACTTCAAGGATTTTTCTTAACTGGCTAGATATAGTCTAAACAATCCAAAAATATAAATTACATTGGAGATACGGACATACTTTTTTGAGTGATGACAAGGAGTAATTGATAGACAGAACAACTTGAAGTCATTTGTAACAATAATAATACACAGACAAAATGCCATTTAGCTTGCCATTTAGTTTTGGTCAGACAATCGCCATCAAATGAATTAAAACTATTCTATGTATGCAGAAAGAGACACTGGTGAATCTTGTAATATCCTCTCAACAGAGTATACGAGTTTACTAACTTCATATATTTCCTCATATTATGTACAGGATTTCATCATGAGGTGATATCGTTAGGGAACCATTGCAAAAACCAGCAGAGGGAACTGGACAGCTGTTTAGTCCGAAGAAATTGGCCAGCGGTCTCGCTATATCGTTAACTGGCAGAAGTTGGAATTCATGGGCTAGTCATAGGATCGGGTCCCAGTGGCTAAATGGTCTACGAGCTCACCGGCCTTGTAACCAGAAGATCCTGGGTTCGAACCCTGGCGATGGGTGCGTACTAATGAAGAGTCGCATACTACGACGAAAGAGCTGTCCAGTACTCCCATCTGGTTTCCCAATGGTTCTCTAACTGATGTCAGCTCATGATGAAATCCTGTAGCCAATCAATCAAATCCTTAGAAAACAACAATACTGGAAATTTTATTGTCTCATCTGAACATTGCTCAACCTATATCAACCGTCTTGTTACTTTATAAAAGCATATTTCCTATTTCATTATCATATTCTTTCTATTTAAACTTTGTTTCTATCCAAAAATACAATTCCAAACACTATTCTCAACAGTATTAGTCTAATTATTCTATGAATAGTCAATCCTTTTATTATCTCTTAATAATTTAACAATTCGCATCATCATCATTTCGGGACTTATGTTTTGCTCTTTTTTAGTTCCTATCATCAATTACTCCTTATCATCGCGAAAAAAAGTATGCTCACATCTTTACAATATATATATAAGCATAAATTACATTACTTTTCAGGTTGTATGCAGGTGGTTGAAAAGGAAATCTTCGAAATAATACAAAAATGAGCTTGTGTACATTTATTGTTCTCGATTTGTAAAATTTTAATCAACCATTATTCTCCACCTGACCTCTGTTACTAAAGCTAAGATATAAAATTAGAGTTGCTGAAAGATTTCTCATTTGTGTCAGTTTCATCTAATGAGTTTCAGTGAATTAACATTTTCTTATATATATAAT